CAGGATTTTGGGCCCGTGAAGTTGGGGTGTGCACGGCTCGGTTCGGTTCGGTTTTTGGCTAAAACCGAACATGAACCGAATATATCGGTTTTTGTAAAATTAAAAACCGTGTATGTCGGTTTTTTATCGGTTCGGTTTCTTTTGGTTTCAGTTTTTTTCGGTTCAAGAGTAATTATATATTCAAGTTGTACAAACAAAAGAATCCAATTACAATTACTTTCACAACTTACTAATGCAATGAAAATATAAAATATTTAATCTCATAGGACTTAACGTAATTTAGATGATGTATTATGTTTTATTTTATTTTTCCTACTTTCATCAACCATATTATTAAAACCAAGAACTCAAGTAAAATTTTAGTTACTAAATAAATAAAATACAATGTCTCAATTTATGAACAAAATGCTTAGAAGGAGACAAGTAATTGAAAGATATAAAGTAAAAATTAGGGTAAAATAATACATATATTATATAAAATGAAATCATTTTATAGTTTCGGTTCGGTTCGGTTTTTCGGTTTAATTTACCCTTTCCACCATACTGAACCGAATAATTCGGTATTTCAAAAATAAATAACCGTACATACGGTTCGCTATTCGGTACGGTTTGAAACAGCTCTGTTTTTCGGTTTTTTGGTTCGGTTTTTCAGTTTTTTTGCTCACCCCTACCGTGAAGATAAACAAATGACCGGAAAATAATAAAGAGTGAGAGAGATAATTCATGAAAAAAAATGTTTTATTGAAGGACAAATCGTACCTCTAATCGGATCTTCACATTTATTTATATAGGGAATTTCTTAACGGATATTCCTATTTTAGAATTTCTTTATTAGTTGAGATTTATATTGATTGCTAAATTAGTAAAATCCTAATTTACATATTTTTCCTAATTTATGCTACCTACCCCATTAATTGTCAAACTGACCACGTCACGCATATATACCATGGGTAAAATTCATTTTCATCCCTGACTTTTGGGGAATACGATGCTACACCCGGTGATTTTCACCGGGTAGCTCTCTTCTTGACATGTGTCATTTTTAATTTATTTTATAATTATATTTTTAAAACCCCATGGGCCATAACTGAACTCGTAGTGGAAATCTTATCAGTTTGGATCCCTGGTTATTTCAACCAGGTGTAGCATCGATATTGCCCTGACTTTTCACACTAAAGTCAAATTAGTCCTTGTGTTTTTAATTGACTTTAATTTCATCCCTTAATTATTTTTTAAACAATAAATCTTGTTTAAAAATATGATTTTACTTAAATACCCCTAAATCATATATTGTTATTTATCAAAAAAAATATATATATATTTGAAATTTCTTAAAATTTTAAATAAATTAGTTGTTGGCAATATTTTTGGTTATATAATTTTGCTAATACTTTATACATTTATTTCACTCAATATTATATACTAAATTTATTTTTTCACAGTTAGATTCAACAGTTCGACATATTCGTTTAAATTAATAGTTGTTACCGAGAAATAATTAACTTAGTAATTCTCATCTTGCAATTAAATCTATATTATGTTTAAAAATTTTAAAAACTATAACTAAGTTACTTTTGCATAATCTTTAATATTGTTTCATATCATCCAATTACTTTTATTTAACTGAATATTTTTTTCTAGAAGTCAAGTTAGTCAAAAATAAACATATATCAGATGAATGAACAAATATAAAATACTAAGCAAACCTAATTAGATATACCATATATATCACAAGAGTACAATTAACCAAGTTATTTATATTTTGGATGATGTAAGATTTAATGAAAATTCTGGGATTACTATTGTGTTTAAAAAAATTTAAAATGAAATGCATTGATTTTGTGAAGTTCAAAATGATTTTATTTTTAAAGGGAGTAAGATTTTACATTTAGTTGAATAATAAACATATGGTTTAAGGGTATTTTGGTCATATCATATTATTTTAACATGAATATATTGCCAAAAAATTATTGAGGGGTGAAATTGAAATCAATTGAAAACACAGGGACTAATATAATTTTGGAGTAAAAAGTCAGGGATGAAAATGAATTTTGCCCATATATAAACCATTGATAATGTCAACTATTTTGCTTTCATTAGAGGATTAATCCAACAAACCAACTAATTTGGCATTGTCTATATTTCTTTTTTTTTTTTTTTTTTTTTTTTTTTTTTTTTTAATGAGTGATGGCCGACTTGAATGTCAACGTTAGTTGACCCACAAAAATTTTGTCGGGTCAAATTGATTAACAGGTGGAGTTAAATTTGTGGGCTGAAAAACCTTGTGCCTCCTGGTGCAAATGTGGGCCCCTCTAAATATAATACCAAGAATCCACCTAAATAAATTTACTGGTCCTCCGCATGCTTCGATCATCCATGCATTATATCCGTAGGTTTCGATCGGAGAGTCTTTTGATCTAAATGGAAATTTCGATTCTCGTCGGGATGCTCCGACACACACCGATGCTCGCAACCTTGCCCATTGGGCTCGTTTGGTGAATCGGGACTCGTAATGTTATTCCTCTTTCTTGTTTTTGCGATTAATTATGCTTTTCCGATACTAGACTATTTCTTTGCTTTTTATTTATTAATTAATGTGACTGACTGTCTTTTACACATTAAAAAAAAAAAAAAAAAAAAAAGAATCTACAATTGAAATCAATAATTCATGTCATTATTTTTATGTAATTTTGGATTTATCGAAAAGAATTTTATTTTATTGGCTTTCGATGTTAAATAATTGATTATCAATCATCTACCGCTAAATTTAATTATATTAACTTTAACTGTGACACTTAACACTGCATATTTGAAATTGAATTATTGGAGTTAAAGATAAGTTCGAGTGATTTGAATCGTACATGAACCGTCCTATTACAATAGAAAGGGCTCATTTGAATAGCATTTAATATTATTGTTGCGACTTTAAGGGTAAATTATGGTCACTCCGAGGTAAGGTCAAATTACGAAAAGACACCTTATATTTTGATAATTACAATCACCCATCAACTATGAATTTTCTTATACGCCCACATTTGTGGTATCAAATTTAGTGGAATCTTCTAGATTTGGTGTAATATTCTCCAGTTTGTACCCGTTTTACCCCATTCGAGCTGCACATTTTGAAACAAGATGATCATAAGACGTGTCTTTTGGCTTTGTTAATATCAGATTGTGGTGCACAAGTAACTGCATTTTTACACAAAATGAGTACAAACTAGAGAATATTCCACATATTTGAGAAGATTCTGTAGAATTTGACACCCTAAAGGTGGACGTGTAATAGTTGAGGGGGGGTGTTTTTTCTCTCACACGAGAGAGATTTTGTTATTTGACCTTACCTCTGGGGGTGGGGGTGTTTTACCCCACCCTCAATAATAATCACTCTATATTTTTCTGAGAGAAAATATATTGTTTATGAATTATAAATATATATATATATATATATATATATATATATATATATATATATATATATATATATATATATATATATATATATATATATATATACACACTAGGAATTTGAATCAATAAACTTAGAGCTCGAAACGAATCAATGTATTCAGGGGCGAGTCCACCCTTGGGCAAGGGTGGACTCAAGCCCACCCTCATTTTTTAATTTGCCCCCTATATTATACCATATTTCTATTTAGTCCACCCAAAATTTCAATTAATGCAAAAGAAGCTCCATATTTTATTAATTATCCTACCCAAAATTCAAATTAATACAAAAAAGTCCCAAATTTTATTAATTAGCCCACCCAAAATCCAAATTAATACAAAAAAAACTCTAAAATTTGTTTTTTTCTTTCTTTTTTTTTTTTTCGTTTCTCCTTTTCATATTTTCAAAAAAAATCCTAAAAAAATCTCGGGGGCGCTGCCCCCGAAAATTGAAGCCCCCCTATACTGAATTCCTGGACTCGCCACTGAATGTATCGGATCGTATATAATCGCATTTATATAATGGTCGATTTTTGTGACCAGAAAAATTGTTAGTTCGTGCTACTGTGCATTGAACACGCCTTTCGGGGGCCCTCTACTGATGAATAATAATAATTTGCATTATAGTGCTGGTGTAGAATTTGAAGCGGTCCACAATCGAATATCGTGCTTGCGGCGGGCACATGTGTGAGATGAATGCACTATAAAACTACGGTCTTTGGTCTTTACAATCAACAATCGGTTTCTGATAACTGGTAGCGCCTGAGGTCCTACACAGTATCGTCACAAACGACGAAGACTGTTGAATTATTACAATTAGAATAATTGAGCCCCACTCAGTTTTTTTGGAAGATAAGTTATATTAGAAAGATAAAGTTTATCTACCTTGAAGTCAAATCGTCCTTGTTTTTCTTTAACTTTGGTGATGTCGGGTATCGATTAAAAAGAAGTTTATTTCAGATATTTTTATTTCAGATATATATATATATATATATATATATATATATATATATATATATATATATATATATATATATATATATATATTGATAATCATGGAAAAATTGAAAATGCTAGTGAGGGGTGCAATGTAAAGAATAGTCAAAATATTCCCTCAAGCCCAAAAGATACCCTTAAATCTAAACCTAATAATTTTTCAATTTTGGAAAATATAATTTTTATTCCGAATTCCAAATAACCCAATATTTGAATTTTTGATTTTCGTCCCAAATTCCAAAACACCCGATATTTGAAATTTTGATTTTTTTTTTCTTTTGTTGGAAATGGAATACTTACGAGAGTGAGTCTGATCCCCGAATCGATTTTAATTTCCAAAAAAATCCGAACCTAAAATTTGTAATTTTAAAATCAAATGTTTAAACCAAAAGAAAAAAGTAAAGGGGGCCAATGTATGATTTCAGTGAAGTAAAGGACCCTTTGGTTTGAAAATGTGTCTCAAAATAAATTAATAAATAAATACTCCTGATTTCTCATATTTTTTATTTTTCCTTTGCATGACATAAGCAAAAACCTATTAAAAGTTAAAACACATAAGATTGAAGCTACAAACACAATATTTATATATCAGCTGAAAATTCCTAAAACAATGGATCAAAACCTTGGATACCACAAAGCAAAAATACGTTTTCGCCCTTGCAAAAAAAAAAAAAAACCCGAAAACACACACAACAAGGAGCACTTTCTTGTTTAAAGTCTACTAACTCTGCAAAATCCAGGTATCAAGAGAGCAAATGAAAAGGAAAATTTGGCCAAATACAGCCCCATACGCTCGAGTATTTCGAAAGCTAAGAAAATAATTTAATGTCGTACAAAAATAAACGAGATGACTAAGTTCATACCATAGCCTAAATTATATGTTGATGGAGTTTGTCCGATGGATCAAGTCAAGATGAGGCCATGATATACTCATTTCTTTTTGTTATGCTAGCTAATTCGAAAATAAATCGATTTCTGTATGTTTGGAATTTAGGCCTTGGTTGCATCATATGGGAATTGCAGTAACTTCCGTTTTCTTCAAGAATGTTCCGGACTCTTCCTTGCTTGCAAGATTCTCTCCATCAATATTTGTCGAGACATTTGTTTCGCAGGCATCATTGTCATCCACATTTATGATTTCAGGTGCAGCATTTTTATCGACACTGCAATCTTCACTCTTTGATCTGATAACACAAAATGTTCGCCATTATTAGACATCATTAAGAAACTTACTTATGACTACCATTGAAATTTCTTTTTTTTTTTTCTGAAAAAAAAAGAAAGGAAAAAACCAACCTTTTAGATGATGAGGTGGCATTTTCTTTTCTTGACGAGACGACCGATTTCCTTTTTGCGGGTTTTTCCCGAGTCCTGATCGAGTTCATAAAACACATCAATTTACGTTTCATTTGTTGAATTAAAACCAACTATGTCTCGAAAGATACAAAATTGACCGAAGAATTATTCACACGTAAAAAAAATATATGAGGTATTATTTTTTTAAATTAAACTTACTTGGTAAGCTCTTTGGGAAGAGATGGGCCGTCAGCTTCTTGTTTCTGAAATATTTCGTAACACAATTACTCATGTAAATAAAAGTTAACACCAGAAAAAAAAAACAGAAGACGAAAATACCACAAATAATCGACAGCATCTTCTTACTTGTGTATTCGGCTCGACAAACAGTTCCCATGTTTCTTTTCTGAGGTTCAATGTTTCGGTTTCATCGTCATCATACAGAATCTGCGAGTAAAGTAGTAGCATAATTGAAAAATAGAGGATAATGCAGAAAATTAAAAAGAATGAACGAACAAGAATAAAGCATCCAAGTACCGTGTGCTTCTTCGTCACAGGATCGAAATCTTTGACGGTGCCGGTATAGAACCTGCATATAAAGCACCTTCGAATATGAGACGACAGAGTTTGCTATTTTCACGTAAAGCGTAAGTAATAAAATCTTTAATTACCAAAAGTAAGACAGCGTTCTAATTAATACAGAAAGCTTCTTCGTGCATTTTGAACCATGATTCCGAACATGTCATAAATGGAAATAGAAAGGCTAATTAGGAAGCATTATCGACAATCAAACATACAAGCAGAATCATTTATTTCCGGAACAGAGATGCAAATGTAGCAAAATAACTTGTATCTATATATATATCATAAGATGGATGTGATTATAGATAAACAAACTACGGATAGTGAGATACGTAATTACTTAGGTTTCGTCCATCGGCCACCAAACTTGTATCCTTAAATAAACCAACTCCTCTCGGCAAGCAACTCGGAGTCTTCTTGACTTCTGAATTCAAAGCATTTATTCCGAAATAAATGTTAAAATACGCATGCATCTCAAAAGATTACACTTATAATATCCATATTATCGTGCATTTTGTATTTTACGTGACTAAAAAAAGATGAAATCTTCCGAATTCCATCGATTCCAATTCCCGAATTTCCAATTTGCAATTTTTCCTGATTATTTTTTGGAACGGAATCTAATTAGTTTTTCACTTCCGAATTTTCTAAAAGTGCTAATTACGATCCAATCGATTTTCACCCCTGCAGAAGATAGTTCAAATTTTGTATATATTTTTCTATTTGGGAATTTACAGTTTTCGGCCCTCACATTTGCACAGATTTCACATTTAGTCCCTCATATTTCAATACTTTAACAATTTTGTTCACTTGCCGTTATTCCGTTGGTCAAGGCAGTGATTGGGACACGCTTGATTCCGTTAGTTTTAATAACAGGAAATTGACAAATAGGTCCACAAAGAGGGATCGAATGTGTTTTTTGTGAACATGGATGACCGAATGTGAAATCGATGCAAACTTGAGGAACGAAAACTGTATTTTTCCCGATTTTTATTTGTTTTGCTGGGACTGTTTTTTTTTAAGCCTCTCATTGGACTTATATTTTGAGCAAGTTCTTTGGTGGCTACACGTACTACTGTGTGTGTGGAGTGTGTAAAAAACTATTGTTTGTTTTTGGGTAGGTTGAAATATGTAAACAAATTTTTGAGTCCACTTAATTTCGATTCTGCCATTGGAATTCTTGAAAAAAAAAATTAAAGTAATGATTAAATAAAAAAAAAATAGGAATATAGTGTTGAAGTTGGGTGGAGATTAGGAGAAGGTTTGTTCAATCAGTTGAATAATGGTCCACAAGTGGATTGATAGTCAACATCATTCTTTATGGATAATAGTACTAAGGTATATAACTTGGGGAATAATTATGAAATTTCTTGCATGTTAATAATTGAACTCCTTTTTTGGCTAAATGGTTTTTTATTTTATTTTTTATTTTTTATTGTCTTATAATCAAGATGCCCGAATTCGTCGGACTAACTCTGGAGGAAGACGGTGTTCATCGGGTTTGTAAATTTGGATGCGGTTATAAACTATACATATTGGTAGCATACTTTCGTGGTCAAAGCAACCATGACGACTTGTCTTCCATAATAAGTAATGTCTTTCGAGACGTCAAGTTAGTACGGACACACGATACTCCAACTTACACTCTTCGACTTTTACCGTTGTATGCTTGTGGAAGCTTTATTTTTCTTTTTTCAATTTTAAGCACGGTTGTTATTACATTAGCTATTTTTTGTATCTTAATAAATATATTATTTGTGATAGATTCATATGGAGTACATGAACATGTTCTGTTTAGGTATATGTATGATTCGATTTGAACGTTTGGATTGAAGAATTTGAAATGAATAGATTTGAAACGACTTATAATGAGTAGAATTTGAAATAACTCACTAATAGGAAGAATGTGAAATCCAGAACAATTGTTAGAAAAATAATTTTTTTTCGAACCCTACATACTCGATCGTTGGAAAGCTCCCTAACATCGGATTTTGGCCGACAAAGATAAACGAATGACCGGAAAATAATAAATCAAGAGAAATAATTCATAAAATAAAAAAAAAAATATTGATAGTTAAATTGTGCCTCTAATTGGATATTTACATTAGTTTATATAGGGAATTTCTTAATGGATATTCTTATTTTAGAATCTATTTATTAGTCAAGATTTATATTAATTACTAAATTAGTAATCCTAACGTACATATTTTTCTTATGTCTTCAAGTAGAATATATTTGAGTCCTTTTTTGTTGACGACTCTCATTCAGCCCGCTACCTATCTCATTAATCGTTTCTTGCATGTTCGGATATGCTGACAAGTCTGTTAATTACCGCGTATCCCATAGACATCGTTTGGCAAGCTTGGTACAAACGACATTTCTTCCTATTAACTTCCAAAAGAGGTCATGTCTTCGATGCGCAATAAGCATCTAAGCCCCATAAATCCAGCAACCAATGGTCCTCATGTGGCAAGCTTGGCTCAAACTTGTCAAACTGACCACCATCACACATACATACATACATACAATTGATAATGTCAACTATTTTGCTTTCATTAGAGGATTAATCCAACAAGCCAACTAATTTGGCATTGTCTATATTTCATTTTCTTTTCTTTTTAATGAGTGATTGGCCGACTTGAATGCCAACGTTATTTGACCCACAAAAAATTTTGTCGGGTCAAATTGATTAACAGGTGGAGTTAAATTTGTGGGCTGAAAAACCTTGTGCCTCCTCGTGCAAATGTGGGCCCCTCTAAATATAATACCAAGAATCCACCTAAATCTATCTACTGCTCCTCCGCATGCTTCGATCATCCATGCATTGTATCCCTAGGTTCCGGAGTTTCTGGTCTAAATGGAAATTTCGATTCTCGTCCAGAAACTCCGACAACCTTGTCCATTCGGCTCGTTCGGTTAATCGGGACTCGTAATTAGTGGCGAGTTCAGGAATGTGATACAAGGTGGGCTTAATTTTTCGAAAAAAAAATTATGACTTTTTTGTGACAAAATCAAAAAAAAAGAAGAAAAAGGGGGGTTTTTTTTTTGCATAATTTTGAATTTTGAGTGGACTAATTAATAATAACTGGGATTTTTTTGCATTAATTTAGATTTTGAGTGGGTTAATTAATAAATATTTGGTGGGCTTAATAGATATATAGGTATAATATGGGGAAAGTTTTGTAATTTAAGGGTGGACTCGCCCCTGCTCGTAATGTTATTCCTCTTTCTTGTTTTTGCGATTATGCATTTCCGATTTTAGACTATTTCTTTGTTTTTTCTTTATTAATGTGACTGGCTGTATTTACTCATTAAAAAAAAATCTACAATTGAAATCAATAATTCATGTCATTATTTTTATATAATTTTGGATTTATCGAAAAGATTTTATTATTGTCTTTTGATGTTAAATAATTGATTATCAAACAGCTACCGTTAAAATGAGTTGGCACATAGCCTT